TCCCTCTCTCTCCTTCCTTTCCCCTCTCTCTAAAAATAAATAAAATCTTTTTAAAAAATCACTTTTCTCTCCAAACCACCAAACCAGTTTTTGCTCACACTGGATGTTTCTGATGAAGTATCCCAAAGCCCACTGCTAAGGACTATTCCCCTGTTCACCTCACACATATTTTCTCTTAAATGGGGCCCCTCCCATGGGTCTCCTCCGGGAAGCCCAAGGGGTCTCCGTCCTGTGTTTCCTGCTCTCTCAAAAAGCAGGAAGAGTTAAGGGCTTTTGTTTTCCGTTCTTCAAACTATCACTAGGCAAGAAAACACAAAGACCTTGCCGTGTGCTTGGAATTAAAATATACAGGAAACAAAATACAGCTAATAGTTCAAGAACAATACCTTGTCATAAGGTATCTGATTACCAAAATGTAGCAAACAGACGCCATGTTTAAGTACATATTGTTTGGAACGAAAAAGGAAATAAAAAATGGAACATAAAGAAAGATAGTCACTTATTTTCTTCCTTTGGGTAGCTCGTTGACCAGTATTGGGCCTGGTGACTGTTTTATTCTGCCTGTGAGGAGAAGTCATAGCAAATACGCATGCAGTTATTTTTCAACTCTGTGTGCAAAGTAGGATGAAGAAAATAGTTTCACAAAATGTATCAAGTTTATCTATTAATATGATGACATTGAACTTTGTAAAATAAGCATACGTCCTTACAAATAATGTGTTTAGAATTTTTACATATCAGGTCCCATTTTATGTGTACTTAAGAGCTTCCTTTAAATACTTTAGAAAATAAAGAATTACTTTCTGAAGTTTCAAAAAATTCAGAAACTCTTTAAGTGGTCAAAAACTGAGTTTTGCTCACAGGGTAGGTGTCTAAGTGATGAAATAATAAAATCAGATGATTGCATTAAAAGTCAAGGATCTCCTCTAGGGTTGGATGTTTCTATGGGAATCTGGGAAGATTAAAAACGCAACAGTGAATCAGAATCTGACTGTGGCCCTACGAGCAGCACGAAGCTGCAGGAGATAAGGAGATCACTGGGGGTGGGGTGGGCGGGGTGGGGGATGGTGGGGTGGGGAAGATTACTGGGAAGGACAGCTAGGCTTGACAGACCAAGACTCCTGCCCGTTCCTTCAGCACTGCTGGGCTAGACCTCTCTAGTGCTTATTGAAGTTAAACAGAGAAATCTTCCTAGAAATGATTCAAACGTCTGCATAAATAGCTTAGGATGCTTCTGTGGAAGTGTCAGAGGCAATAGATGCTCTAACTTTTAACACCACGGCCAACTTTGACATGATGCATCTGGGAGGCAGAACAGACAAGGGGACGCCAACCTGAAACGGAGCACCTCGCTTCAGCTGGGCCCTGGCGGATGGCTTTCCCAAGCAGGTTGGACAAAGGTTGAGGTGGCAGGCCACTGGATTATTTTCAAGTGGAAGCATGCCATTTTTTGGTTTCTTATATCTAGCTGAAAAGCAAAAGAAGTTCAGTTCACCACATGGGTCATTGGTAACTGCCAGTTCAGTCTTGTAGATCTGAAATTTTTTGGTTATTCGGCACAATTGTTGGTTTCCAGTGCATAATGAAAATGAAGAGGACATATTGAACGTGTGTGTGTGTGTGTGTGTGTGTGTGTGTACAGGATAGGGCAAAAGTAAGTTTACAGTTGTGAGTACACGAGACAGAGTCTATTCTTGTATTATTATTTATTAATTATTCTATTATTTTCCACATGTGAAGTACACAGCTGCCAATCCAAATATTGAACCATTCAACATATAAATAACCATTGGCATTTAAATAAGTATTTTTAAGTATCAACTTTATGATCAGAAAACTTAATGGGGAAATAGAAAAGTGTCCATGAATAACAATAATAATTGCTATTTACTGAATGCTTCATAAAAGCTGAACATTGTGGTACTTCACATAGTTTTTTCACATTTGAGCTTCATAACAACCTCTCGGTTTATTTTACAAAATGAGAGACTAAGACTTAAAAAGGTTAAAAAATGGACCTTACATCATACAATGAGCATGCTTCAAAGCAGGGATTTGAGCCTACATTCTTCTGGTTCTAGAGTTAGAGTCCTTTTCAATTAAATCATATTGCCCCATGCATAGATATTCTAGGTAAGGATCTCTTTTGCTGTAGTACGTGTATATTTGAGTTTTTTACTTTCTCATCTTGAGGTAGATAGTTTAAAAGGGTGAAAGACTGGGCATAGGATCTGTTATATAATATCACAATCTTTTATACCCAGCCTTAAGTAAGGAAAACCTGAAGTCAGGCTATGTTTAAGGGAAACATTGAACATGTTTTTGGTGCACAGTGAAGCTGTAATAATTTTGAACGTTTGAGTAAGAACCAATAGGTGCCTTGGGTCTTGAGTGTTGACCGTCATCTTTTGAGCAAGATCACTGATTCGACAATATTTACCTTCCAACGCCTCTAACGGGGCCCCAGGGGGAAATAAATCCATGAGACATATTCTGCTACTCTCATACAACAGCCATGGAGAAGGGAAACTGTGGGATTAGGTGTCATGTAACACATTTTCAGGAATTTTGTGAGCAAGTTGTTAAATGCAGACATTATTAAAATTAAATGATATAATCTTACAATTCCATTGCATTAAAAACAAAGGTGTCACTTCCGTATCCCCAATTATTTACTACACTTTAGTGTTATCTACGGTCTGCAGTTATTTCTACCGTATTTGTTTATCCTCACCCGAGGACATCTTCTCATTGCTTTTAGAAAGACAGGAAGGAAGAGGGAGAGAAAAACATCCACATGAGAGAGAAACATTGATCAGTTGCCTCCCTCTTGCACGTGCTCAGACAAGGGATCAGACACACCAAGACTGGAGATCACATGCACCCAGACTGGGGACCGAACCCACAGCCCAGGCAAGTGTCCCGATAGGGAATCAAACTCACAAACCCTTGGTTACCAGACAACACTCCAGCCAAGCAAACCACACCGGCCAGGGCATTTCTGTTGTGTCTTTGTGATCCAAGTGTCGCATGATGCTCTGCTAACACCCGTCTCTTCCCAACTCTGCATTCCATGACATCACACGTCAGTCTGAAATTGACTGTAGTGGCAGTATTTACACCAAACAAATTAGCAAATTGGACACATCAAGGCTTGGTTCATTGTTTTATTGATCACCTAGACAGAGTTTGGCAAACACAGCCAGTGGGCCAGATTCAGCCAACGGTCTGTTTTTGTAAAATTTTACTGGAAAACTGTCATGCCCATTTGTTTATGTGCTGTCTGTAGCTGCTTTTGTACAGTGGCAGAGTTGGGATGGGATGAGAACGGCCATCTGACTCACAAATCCTAAAATATTTACTATCTGGCCCTTTACCAAAATGTCTGCCAGCCCCCGATCTAGACTGAAGAAACTGATCAACTATTAATAACACAGCTTGAACATAAAAGGGAATCATGTGTGTAGCTATTACATGAGACTAGCATGAGAACTTGTAAAAATATTTTTCTGGGATTCAAAAACTGTGATCTAGTTCAGCAAAAAAATATTCATGGAATTGACAAATGAGTGAGCTTCCCATATACGTAATACTGAAATTGAAAAAACTTTCATTTGATGAACAGAATTGGTTTGAGGCTGAGAAAGGGTTTAACCATAGACTTGATATCCAATTTGGTGACAGTAAATGTATTAGGAAGAGAATTAGCAGATCGAGACACGACTTGGCCAATTCACGATTGAATTGCAATACTAGGTTGCCTGTGGATACAAGAGTTTGGCAAAAATCTATGAAAGCATTCTGTGAGAATCAATTGGCTACTGTACGTTTTATTACTTGTAAATGACGTGCTATATATTCTTAACATTAGTAAAATTGGTAATAGACTTACATACTTACATATATATGCATATAATAACATGCTCAACATTTTCCAGCCCACCACCCATCACTCTCTGACAAGCACGTGACTGCTCTGTTGCCCTGGTGATATTGGGGACCTAAGCTGTTGCTAATGACTGCCCCCTGGAGAGCCAACCAGGCAAATGAAAACTGGATGACAGACAGCAGCAAACTGAACAGTAGGAACTCTGGACAGGGTTGCAGACAAGAGGCGAGGAAAGTCGGGAGTCAGGTGGCCAGTACCTGTGATACCATTGATTAGAAAATGAAAAATGCTGTCACCAACAACTCCAGAAGCTCAGGGACTCAAAGTCTTATTTCTTACTCACCTCACAGCCCCCTGCAGTGAGGACTGGAGGTAGAGGCTCTGCCCAAGCAGACACCCAGGTTCCTTCCACTGAGTGGCTTCACAGTCTCCTATGGCGTCCTGTATTTGGTTGCCCATTAGGGGAGTATGTACGGTGGTTTCAATGGGTGGTTTTAGGGGTTGGACCTGGAAGGGGCAGGAACGCTTCCAGGCCACCTCTCCTTAGCCGGGGTCCCGTCAGCAGAGGAGACTGGGAACAGGTTGCCTTCCCACACGCCCAAGAGGGAGACGAGTGGGGAATTTGTGAACACACAGTTGTGCCTCTGTCACTGCCCCCTTTTTCTTCTTCGCCTAGGAAGTCCCCGTGTACACGGGACAGCGCCCCTTTCCACGTGCATGCTGGTGAGGACGCTCGATTGTGTTGAGTGACACAGTAGACTTGAAGGGACTCTGCTAAACTAGTCGAGAGCCACCCATTGCAGACACGCAACCTTTTCGCCGGCCCCCAGGTTCTCCAGTGCCTGCGTGTTGCTGAGAAGTGATGGGGGGTATGTGGTACAAGGTTAACATACGAGCTGAAAGGGATTTTCTGGTTCTGCTAGAATGGCTCATGACTTCCCCTTTACAACATAATTTTACTCAGAGTACTTGGCCGATCAATGCATTTAGGTCAGCGCCGCCCTTTATGGTTATCACCATCTCTTGATTTGTTTTCAGAACTTCTTATTTATGTGAGGGAGAGTGGATGATAGAAAGAAGTATTCGGAGAAATCTATAAAGTGTGCCGAGCATGAAGGAGATGTCCAAGAACAGACACCCTGAGGGCCAGAACTGCACCGTTACAATGGCAAATGGCACAGACACACGAGCGATAATGGGGACCGAGGGCACCGTGCTCGCCTGTGGTATGCTGTGTCTGTGTGTGTCCGCGGGTGCGCACACGACTCGCAGCGCTCGATTTCTGGAGCTCGACTCTAAGGACAGCACGGGAGGCGTGTGTTCCTGGAACGACATCAAGCACACGGACCACCTTCCCCTTCCCCACCTGGGCGCCCAGAGTGACATGTATGTGCGGGAGGTGCTTCCATGCGCCTCTTCCCATCTGCTCCCCCGGCGCTGAACAGAATGCAAGTGCTGAGGGGCACGGCAAAGCCAGAGCCACCGCTGTCAGTTGGCCCGAGGACACCCGCCCTCGTGGTGCTGGGCACTAGCCAGGTCGTCGACACGTTGACGAGAGCCGCGGTCTGGGCCTGTCCACGCCAGGAGTTGCGCATGCACAGAAGGGCTGTTTTTTTTTTTTTTCCTCAGGGTCTCTCCTGTGTAAAGCAAAGAGGCCATGAAAAGGGAGGGACAGTCGAGAACCCAGAAACTGGAGTGGAGGTTCGCTCTGGCAGGCGTCAGGCCCCGGGTTGAGTCCCCCGTCTCTGAGCCAGGGGAAGGCCTCACCTGTGGGGTGCCTGCCCGCATTCCTCTCTGGTCTCTCCCGGTGCAGCTCTGCCATCTGTCACACGGAGTGTTCTGGGAGAGGCCTTCCTATTCCTGTAACCTGCAGAGGGATGACAGATGAACGGGGGGGAGAAAACCCAGGGCCCCCCTCTCCGAGTGGGCTCGTGTGACTTCAGGTAATGTGGGTCTCCTGGCACGTGAGCTTTGGAAAAGGGTGTGCTCGCCATGACCAGGGCCGTGTCTTCCCTGCTGTGCTTGTTTCTCGCGTCTCCTTTTCCTTGCATTTATTTTTTGGTAAGAGCAGAGAATCCTACTCCTAAGGAAAGAAGAAAATTGGAAGTAGGGGTGGGGGAGAATCTGACTCCGAAAGAGCAGCACAAGGGAATTTCAGGGGTGAGAGAGCTGTTCTCTCTCTGGCTGCGACGGTTATGTAACTCGATGCATTTACCAGGATTCACGGAGCTCCATGCCGAACAGAGCGACACCTGCTATTTACAAAGTATGCAGCACATTTATAAAGCTTCCCGACCTGTCACCAGCCTGGGTAGCTCCCTTTATGAAAAAGATAATAACGTCAGTTCAAGGGACCAGAAAATGTTTATTTAACTTGACTGAATTGTCTGATCCCATCCCACAGGGTGGGCCCAGTCTCAGGCGGTCACAGAGCACTCGAAATGGGTCATCAAACTGAGACAGGCTCTAAGCGTAAAGCACATGTGAGACCTCAAAGACTTCATACAAAACAAGTAAAATAGGTCATGGATAGTCGTATACACTGATTACATGTTGAGATGGTAAAATTTTGGATACAGATCATTAAATTAAATAGACTATTAAAATTAACTTCATTAGCTTATATTTTAACTCTTTTAAATAGGACGACTAGGGAATTTAAAATGACATCTGTGGCTTGCATGCATGTTTCCGTTGGAGAGTACTGGCAGACACTGTGTACTAGACACAGGCAAGGGCGTCCTGGAATGAGCAAATCGTCTGGATACTCCCTTGCTAGCTGCCCCCTCTCCACCCTAATTTCCTTCTCGTTGCCCAGAGCTTTGTTCTTAGCCACCAGCTATTTCTTTTCTAGGTTCCATTTCTTATTGAGACTTAAGCATCGAATGACTCTTGAATTGATATCTCCAATCCAGCATCTATCTAACCCAGTGGCTCTCCAACCAGGGCTGATGTCATCCCTGAGGGGACAACATTTGACAATGTCTGGAGATACTTTCAGTTGTCACAACTTGGCCGTGAAGATATTACTGACATCTAGTCTGTAGAGACCAGAGATGACGCTAAACATCCCACAGTGCCCAGAACAGCTCCCCCAGCAGAGAAATGTCCAACACAACCTGTCAATACCTCTCAGGCTGAGACACCGTGATGAACAGTGGTCAGTCTGCTCATTCACATAACAAATGTTTATTGACAACCTACCTGTGCGGTGCACGGTGCTGAAGTGTGTTGGAGAAAATCAAACAGCACTTTATCTACAGAGATAAAGTAGACATGGGTCCTGCATCCACCATATTTGCAAAGATAAAGCATTCATGCGAAGGGAATAGGTAGGTAATCAATGATGTCATAATAGGTACTGTCGTGAGAAGAAACAGTGGTCAGTGGAAGCACAAGCATGGACGGTTTCTCAACTATACCCTTGGTTTGCAAAAGCTGACATGGTATTCCTACTGGACATCGACGCAGCTAAAGCTTAACTCATCAACGTTCCCGACAGCAAACTCTGTTCTAAGCATGCTGTCGTTATTTTAACCCCTTGGTTAGAAAGTTGGGACATACCTTTGACTATCTCCCCTGGCTTTTCTGTCTCTTACCAAGATTTTAAAAAATTCTAATTTAGTCATGCAAGTCATTTTGCTTGCTTTTCTTGTTTTCCAACTGTAGGTAGATAATCTTAGGAGCATGTAAGTGCATGAAAAAGTATAAGTATGTAATATAGTCCCTGTATGTAGTCTGGTGGAGAAGGTGTGTGATCTCGTGAAATGCTGAAAAAAGATGACCATCACACAGGTTGTACACACAGGCAAATAAATAACAGAGGTAAATGTTATCAGAATTCTGAGGAAAATATGTCTAATCGAGGCTTCCCATGGCTTGATTATTAAAATAGTATCCTCTACTCTCTGCTCTAAACCCCCAATGTGATTTTTCATTTAATTGTCCCAAGACATGTCTTGTCTTGTGACCTGTCTCCTGCTCCAATCCAACGTCTGTAATGATCTCCTCTGCCGTAAGGCGTCACATGCTCAGCTCCGCCCCCACCTGCAGAGGCGCCCTGACACTTGACCAGACTCTGTCCTTATTCCTCTCTCCCCACTATACGAGCCCGCGGCAGCCCAGGGCCCGTCCCCAAGCGCCCGCCACACGGCTTCTGGGGCTGTCTTCTCCCGTTCCTCTGGCAGCAACCCCTCAAGTCTTCTCGCCAGGTCCATCTCAGTCTCCTTCTTGAAGCTTCCCTTGCCCGTCTGGGGCCCACGCTTTCCTTTCTTCTAATCCCTTTCACTCCGAATAGGCGCCATCCAACACTGAACACGCCTGTTCTCTGGACATCGAGTTCGTAACCCACACTATCCGACACTGAACGTTCTTGCTCTCACAGAAGAAAGAAGCCGTGTTGAAGTGTCTTTTCAGTTCCTGAATTCACCTGAAACAGTCCTGAGCAGGTCCTCGGTGCCTAGGTCCTACTCAAAAAGCAAAGTTGTTGATGTGTTTTTGTAGAAATAGTTCTATGTACATGACTGAGTCTTTTATGCAAGCAGATCAAATATACCTTCCACATAAATGTTGCCTTTCAAACCCATTGGCCTGAAGACTGCACACATATTCTAATTTTCAGACTTTTCTGGTACTCCATTTTCAGAATGTCTTTGAGAGCCTGTGGCGCATTCCTCTAATATGTTCAAAGAGTATCAGTGTTAATGCTGTGCGGGTGAGCTTGGCTTTTTAAGGGGGATTTAGAACGATGGCAGAGGATTACACTGAGTGAAGCTGGCTAGTACCACAAACGGTCTAAAAGAGAGGTGCGTGCAGGAGCCAGAGACTCGCTTTTCCTGCCCCTGTTGAGCTGTGTCAGGAGGTAGCTACAAAGGAACCCTGGAGTTCTGATTCCCAGTGGGACTCACCAGCAAAGACAAGGCTTGTGTGGCACCCTTGGTCCGCCCGTTTGCCGCTTCGTGCTACTCTTCACTCCAACTTCCCTTCGCCGATAAAGGGCACACTCAGGTGAGAAAAGTGGGACTTACAACCCCTTGGAGCCCTCCCTGCCGCCTCCAGGGCAGCCACAGGCATCCACCGACGGGGTGGCGGCGGATGGCTGCAGCCCTGTTCAGGTTTCCATGGACACGTTTTAGGTGCAGCGACCTCTCAGTGAAGCTGAAAGACAGTCGCAGATGGCAATCAAGCAAGACTTCAGAAGGAGGCTCACTGCTGCTGTGGAGGGGGAGCTACCTGTGCCGGGAAAAATCAGACTGAATCAGTCACTCAATCTGTGAGTGTGTGTGTGCCTGTGTGCGTGTGTGTTGGAGGATAGGGCAGAAAGATTCACAGGTATGGGCCAGATAAACTGAATACAATAATGCCAACATTTAGACTTTCATCATTACGTATGTAGATTCAGCACCCATTGGTCATTGGACAGTACAGCGGGCTGCTTTGGGATAGAATAACAAATTGAATTGTAGGTGTCCCCTTGGCATCCCAGCCTTTTTTGGGCACTGCCCTATCTCATGGGGCATAGGTGTCGAGCAGAGGGGAGAAAGAGAAGGCACCATTGTGGGACTAGGCATCCGCCACAACTTAGACCGAAAGGTTCAGCGCCGAGGAGCCCGAGGGCCAGGACACCCACCAAGGCTGCTTGCCACGCTGCACAGGCTCCTGACCAGACGAGCCAACTCCGCTGGCAAGCAACCGGCGCTGAAGAGGTTGTTTCTGAGTCGCACCAACGGGCCACCCTGTCCCTTTCTGGGATGATGCAGAAGATGAGGCTTCCTGGCGAGGAGGGCAAAACCACCGCAGTTGCAGGGACTGTAGCTGAAGATGTGCGTGCCCAGGAGGTGCCCAAACTGAAGGTGTGTGCGCTTTGTGTGAGCAGCCCCGCAGAGAGCCACATCCCCAAGGCTGGAGCCAAGATCCTCACTGTGGACCTACTGGCCCTGGACTCCACCAAGGGCTGTGACACTGTCTTGCTCTCTGGCCCTCACAAGGGTCCCGAGGTGCACAGGCATTTTGGCGAGGCCCCAGGAACCCCTCACCGGTGCACCAAGCCCTGTGTGAGATCCAGGGGCTGGAAGTTCAAGCGCACGAGAGGCCATCTGGCCAGCCCCAGCTACATGAACTGACCCCAGATGCTACCTTGTTGTTAGAAATATTTTGGATGCTGAAAAAAAAAGCAGAGAGAAGCAAGTGCTTTATTGTGTAGATGCTTCTTGTCACACATTATTCCTTTTAATCCTCCCAGCGACCATAGGAGGTAACTACCATTGTCTTCATTTCCACAAACGGTGGAAGTAATCCTGGAGACTTGAAGGATCTTGACAGAGGGCGGGCATATAGCAAGGTTCTGAGTGGAATGGAAAATAGTAAGGGGCCAGGCCAGGCACCCAAGCCTTCTAGAAGATTCTAATTCCAAATGGGTGAGTCTTCCTGAAAAAAGTCTGCAGAGTGACATATTTCTGCCGAGTCACCTTCCAAATGTGAGGGACTGCCCAGTCTGCAGGCCCCTGTCATCCTGTCGGACATTATCACTGTGTCTCGTGACCCTTCCATGTTTCCTAAGCTCTAACCAGGAGAGAACAATGCAGCCTCCTCTTGATATCCGGTTTGCTTTTCTCTGCTTTGTCATGCCACTTAAGCACCTTGTTATGTGAGAGGCAACATTTGCTGAGTGCATGAAAAGAGGCTATTTTTTTTCCTCTGCAATTTATAAAGCATTTTCATACAGAACATCTAATCCTATTTTTGCCTTGGCAAAATAGACCACACTGAGGCCAAACGTTTCCACAGCAGTGGTTAATCAAGGTTACTTCTCTCAAATCAATCATTATCTCTTCTTTAAAGAGGTGATTTTCAAGTGGTATGTAGCAAGAATTTTTAAAACATGCAATACCTGACTATGGAGTCAGGGGCACTCACCTCTTTTCCCTTAGATTGTCAGATAAAAAATGAGAACAGCTAACACAGCAATAGCCATCTGGTGTGAACGCCCTGTCTTGAACCATAAATATATAGGCCATATAAGATAGTTGTATCTTATTGGTCACGTTGCATAATGGGTTTGCATCTGATTGGTTAATTTTTTGATACCAGAAATCCTACTATATAACCTGATTTTTTAAAGTCACTTTGGGACAAAAACCGTAGGTTAATTACTATAATTATTATTATCCTTATTATTATTATTACTTTGTAAATCAGTCAAAATCCTACCTATTTGTCAGACTGACAAACGATATATTTTTTGGTATGCTGCAGAATTTCAGTAAGTAGTTTGCGTGTGCCATGAGATGAAAAAGGTCGAAAACGCTGCTCTCCAGGACGGGCAGGGAAGAGAAATGCCTTTAATAACTCACAGAGAGGGCAGGCGAGGGCGTGGAGGACAGCCTGCTGCCCTGAACCAGGGCCTCTTAGTCCGCTCCGGATCGCCTGGGCGTGCCTGTGAGGAGATACTCTGGGCTCCCATCCTGGACTTACTGATCTGAGTTCCGAAAGCAAAGCCTGGAGATCCGCCTTGTCTTCACAAGCTTCCCGGGGACTTGTTCCTATAACGTACTTTGCTATGATCGCCCGTCATTTGCTATGACCGGAGTCTCAGGATGGATGGAGCCGCTGAGCAACACGGCGCCTTGCTGTCCTTCTGGCGCCGTTTTCCGTGATCCGCAGGCTTCGCCTCCCTGGGACTCGGGTGACTACCCTGTTGGGCCCCCTGGAAGAGTTCATGAAAATAAAAGAGTTGAAAGCCCTGGCTGGTGTAGCTCAGTGGATTGAGCGCAGGCTGCGAACCAAAGTGTCGCAGGTTCGATTCCCAGTCAAGGCACATGCTTGGGTTGCAGGCCATGACCCCCGGCAACCACACATTGATGTTTCTCTCTCTCTCTCTCTCTCTCTCTCTCTCTCTCTCTCTCTCTCTCCCCTCCCTTCCCTCTCTAAAAATAAATAAATAAAATATTTTAAGAAAAGAAAAGAAAAGTTGATTTTGGGGCCACTGACAGTGCAGCTGTCTTTCCGAAGCTGCCGTGATCTCTGATTAGTTCCCTTTTAGTCTGAGAACTGACCTGAACATGGGTTTGGGGGTATTTTCAATTAGAATTTTTTTCATTCATTCTCCAAAATTAACACAACGAGATTCTTCAAGAAACCAAAGCATTTAAATGTTGAAGGAGAAAGTGAAATTCTCGTCACTTTGGTGTTGCCACGCACCCCATCTTTGCAGAAGCTGGCATCAGCGACAGAACACGAGACACATTTAGCCCTGTGACTCGGGGGGAGTTAATGCAGCTAAATACAGTTACCAAATCAAGCCAACGTGCGAGGGACCGTAGGGGAAATATTCCCAAGGGGAGCATTCTAATTGGTAAATAACGAGGTATTTCAACTGCTGAGAAGCATAAATAGCCTTGACCCACGTGGTAACGACAGCAACGAGGAACCAAATGGCTGTTGTCTAGGAGGCAGCCATGCATCGTGCTGCTCGGAGACTTTAACGTTCACAGTGAAGAAAAAGACAGGGGTACCAATCGGCTTTCTCTTCACTTCACCTCCACCAGAGGGTTCTCGACCTCAGCCCTCCTGACATCTGGGGCTGGAATCTTCTTTGTTGTGAGAAGCTGGTCTGTGCTTTGCAGGATGTATAGCAACACCCCAAGCCTCCACCCACTAAAAGCCGGCAGCACCCCGTCCGTGGTTGGGACCCTAAAATTGTCTCTAGACACCGCAAAGCATCCCCTGGGGAGCAAAATCGTGTCCACTTGAGAACTGTTCATCTCCATGCACTGATTTCTCTAATTGTAACATCTGTAACGATAAAAAAAAATTTAATTGAAGGAGTTCCTTAAGATGTGCTTAAAATAACTAAAAATAAGTGTATCTAAATACGTTAAAAACATTCAAAAACTGTATGAAGACCAAAGATGTAGGAGAATAAAGCATTCCAGTTTTGTATATAATGGGAGTTTCATTGTGTGCTGATGCAACTTTGTATCAGTGGTGAGTGAAGGCTCAAACCGCTAAGATGCAGAACAAGGTTACTTTAAGCATCCTAGACTTCCTGCCTCTAAAGCAACACGATCACCTTTCAATGTGCAAAACAGACTCTGTGTGATCAGAGGAATGGAAAGGACTGGTGGGAGAACGCGCCGTCCCCCCATTTTAAATGTATTCACTTGTCATGGGAACGTATAGATCTCAGAAGGCATTTTGGGTCATCCTGAACTTGACCTCTGCGTATGTCAACATGTCTGTGGCTGGGAGGATGTCCTGGCCCATTCCCACTCCCTTCCCCAAGTCAGTGCAGCGAGGGACTTCACCCCTCGCCAGGTCTCACGCCCTCTCAGTAAGTACGCCTGGCGTGTCCCTACGTCCCAAAGCCTCAGGCGGTGGCCAGAGAGAGGACGTTCAGGAAGGCTAAAGAGGTCTTGGTACGGACTCCAGGCTGAGGGGCAGGGAAGGGGCCCCTCGGGAATGGAAGTGTGCAAGTTCCAAGGCCTCTCACTAGAGAACCCTCCCGGGGAATATCCAGCAAAATGTTTTTTCTATACAATGAATAAATGCTCACCTAAGACCTCCAGTAATTTTTAAAAAATGGTTAAAGAGAAAATCCAAATTATTTTGCTTTTCTGTCTAGTGTTGTCATCAAAGTGATATTATTCTTTAGGTTTGCCTAATTTTGTTTGACTGTATATAAATGGAATCAAATTGTGTGTGTGTATATATATATATGTATTTTTTTACAATTTGGTATGTTAAGTCAACACTAATTTTTAAGATTCATCTATATTTGTAAGTGTAATTCATTTTCATTGCTGTTTAATGCTCTAGTGTGGGAATGTATTACATTTATTGATTCATTCTACTGTTGCCTGTCGTTGTTTCTAGTGCCACCTAATACAGATAAGGCATCTCTAGCTGTTTTTATGTGCCCCTGGATGTAAGTGTCCAAGAGAATTTCTGCCTCTCCCGTGGGAGGTGGGAATCCCGGATTTTAGGAGATATGAATCTCCCAACGTCTAGATAAAGCCAAATCCTTTCCCAGGCTGTTCGCACCATGAGCTTCTGCCGCTCACCATCCTCACCAACACTTGAAATTATAGACATTTCATTACTTGCCCATTGGATTACTTGCCCATCGTGGGTTTAATTTACATTTCCATGATTATTAGAAAGCTTGAAATCTTTTCATATCATAATTGGATATTTATGGTTCCCCTTTGGTCAAAATCTTTTGTCCATTTTATGGTTTTTCTTATTGAGTCATGTGTGTTTTCGTATATTCTGGATACAGATTCTTTCTCCAGTTATTTATATATATATATACTTATATTTATTTATATTTACAAATATATAAATATATTTTATATGTATATAAATATATATTATATATATAGTTTATATATGTGTGTGTATGTGTATACCAACTAGTGATTTATCTTTTTACTGTATAGAATTCTTTTTATAAACAATATCTCTTAATTCTAATGTAATCAATTTTACTCATGTTTTCGTTCTATTTTGTGCTTTTTTCGCCCATTTTGAGACATGATACTCTCTCCTGAAGTGCTTAGTAACCTATATTTTCTTCTAGGAGGTTTAAAGTTTTGCCTTTTACTTATCAGTCCTTAAACCACCTTGCAGCGACTTCTATGAATGGTATGTGATATGGAAACCAATTCCATTTTCTCCTATGGATGACCAGTTACCCAGTATCATTCATTGGCATGTCCCTTCTTTCTCCACGGATCAATTTTCAAAGTGACAGCTTTGGGCAAATTGGAGAAGCATGCCCTCCCTCAGTTGAACTGCAAAAGGCATCCCATTTGTATGAGCCAATTAGCAAAAATCATTCCTCTAAGTATGTCCGTTGGGAAAAGATAAAAGTTGCCCCTTCCTCCCAGGAGCTGGTGCATTAGCTGGCCCGTGGCCCGTTCCCTTTGGGCTGCTTCCGGGCCCACTGGAGCTGGGTGCGCTCTTGGCAAGTGCCCCGCCCTGCTGGTCACCGTGTCTGCCGCACACGAACACCGCATTGTCCTCGTATCACGGCTTTGTAGTAAGTCCTGTTCTGGAGAGGGCAAACCTTGCCTCTTCTTCTTCCTCAGTTGTCCTGGCTTTTCTCGACTCTTATTTCCAC